GGTCTTGTGCTTCAGATGTGAGATTAAAGGATCAAGGAGAAGCTGCTGAGTCATGGCATCTGACCCACTTAAATCCGTTAGACTCTCTTCCAGAACCTGATGTATCCTTTGAGAGGGATCACCTCTGAGCTATGTCTCTTGTGCATGGCTCCGAGGTAAAGCCTTCTATTGCTACTGGAATACAAAAGCAAATAGGAAAAATGAAATCTAGGCCAATGCACATCCAGACCCAGTTGGGCAAAGCCCTGTGACGTGGAAGCAGCCCGTCTTGTCTGACACTGTGGCCACCAGCGCCCAGTGGACATGTCCCTAGGCAACCTACAGAGTCACTGTCACCTCAGCATCCCACCGAGGGAAGAAGACCTGTGCCTTGGGGGCCTGAGGTCACAAAACAAGTCAACTGACAGGGGAAGTGTCTCAAGGTCCCCTCTCTGCTCCCCATCTCCTGCTGTCAGCATCCAAATTAGTGCAAGGCCCCAATCCAAGCAAGCATCAACTGGATTGTCAACCCAATAAATGACCCACCCTGGGGACCTACTGGTTAAAGCTCTGCCTCAGCTGTCACCATCCTGTAGCTTTCCACTTTCCCCAAGCATGCAGAGCTGCCAAAAAAAAAAAACCAAAAAAAAAAAAAAACTAGTCAGCTCTCCCAGAGAAAAAAAGGCTGTGTGCAAGGTCAGGTAAACACGGATGGGGCCAGAGAAAGCTCTCCCCTCCCCCTTCCCATGCGGGAGTATTATCCTCGCCCCAAGCTAAGGACCTCTAAATCCGGCCACAATAGCAACCCTGGGAAGGCAGGAAAATGTCCAGCGTGGAAGCCACATCCTCTGTGCAGTGCCGCAGCCAATGCCACTGAAGGACACGGAGTGAAATTGAGAAGGAATTTGAATGACAAAGTGACATGATGTCCATCTCCCTAATGATGGGACAAGTTGGTCGTCTGTCACTGGCAAGGCAAAACTGCCAGGCCCAGATCTGTCTTTAAAAGCTATTTCTCATGGTTTTGAGTCACCAGCCCAGCTCAATAGCTAAAACAAAGAGAATGAATTATGGAACAGCACGAGGGGAGCTTGTTAATTTTCCCACTGATGCACTGTGAAATGAAAGCTTTATTCTAAGAATGGTATATCCTCGGGGCTCTCTCTAGAGAGTCCATGACAAATCCAAATGTCCTTATGCTTTCTTTGCCCCTTACTTTACGGCTTTTCCCATATATACATTTACAAAATATGTATATTTCATGGTATGTTTGTACCTATAGGGCGCGGGGAGTTCAAGTGTGTGATCCTCTTTGAGTCTTCCCTGACACTGAAAAGCACTTAAGTAGTGCCACTGATGAACACACACATGCATCCATCTGCATTAGAACTTGTGTATAGCCTGTCCATTCGTATTACGGAAACCTTCACACAGGCTGCTAGCTATTGTCCACACTGGGGAGATAGAGCCCACCTCCAATTGGAACCCAATGAAATAATCATGATAATTTTACCTTCATGTCTCACCTTTCATCAGGGAGGATAAAAGGACTTCACAAACCCTAGGTCCCTCTTTGATCTGGGCTCCTATCTGGTGCACCAATCTCCATTGTGTATTCTGCCCTCACCCTGCAGATGGGCCTCCCAATGCCAGTAATTGAGCTTCCATATGCAGAGCAGCCAAGAGGCAGGCCTGACCTGAGAGCCTGCGGCAGGCTGCCAGAAGGCAGAGGGCTGTTTCCTGAAAGGGCTTGGGTAACCGTTTGGTACGTGCATTGGGACAGTGGGTATCAAGGCAAGGAAACAGGGGAGTGGTTCTGTAGCTGCAACTTTAGCTTTGTGGGAGGGGGTCCTTCGTGGGAGCTGGAGGAGCATCCTAGGCAAGGTGATAAACTCAATCTCCAGAGAGGAGGCGTTGCCTAAGGCTCTGCGCTGAGCTGACTTCTCATCCACACCCGGGACTTCATGGGAAGGACTCTGAAATACACATCCCAGGCTCAAAGTCTCCCTTGGGTCTAACCAGACCTCTCCAGCTGTCTCCCGAGCATTCCATCCACATATCTCATTGGATCATCAAACTCAACTCCCACCAAACACAGCACATGATTCTGCCTCCTCCTTCACTCGCCAACAGCTCTCTTTGCTGTCTTTCCTGTCGCAGTCGCTGGAGTGACAGCCCAGAATAAGTCCACCGAGATCTATTGTTCTCATGGAGCTTGCCTTGCAGAGGTGGAGTTGGGTGGGAGAAAGTCCTAAACAAGTCACAGATGAGGAAGGGATGGGTTTGCTGATGACGGGTCAGGGCTGTGAACACCCTTGAGCAGAGTGAGCACTGCAGGCTTCTGCAGGAGGGTGACCAACAGGAAAACATTTTCCAGTGCAGGGAACAGAAACCTGGTTTCTTGCTGGGCTGCTGGAGTGCTCTAAGAGAGCAACTGAGCAGAGATGAGGTGGGAGAGGACAAGAGAAGGTGAGGCTTTGCAGATGAAATGCAGGGCTTGCATCTTGCTTGTTTTTAAGTTTTATTGATTTGTTTCTTTGAAAGACAGAGGGAGATAGAGAAGGAGACAGAGAGAGAGAGAGAGTTCTTTTACTTGTTGCCCTCCTTCCCAACTGAATGCAATCCTGGCTGAACTCTGTCTGGGTCTCCTATGTGGGAGGCAGAGGCAGAGGCTCAAGCGCTTGGACCATCTTCTGCGTCCTTCCCAGGTGTATCAGCAGGGAGTTGGTTTGGAAGCAGAGCAGCCAGGACTTGAACTAGTGATCCACAATGGGATGCCTGCATTGTAAGTAGCAGCTTAATCCTCTGTGCCAATATGCCAGCCCCCAAGGTTTGTGTTTCAATGTAGACGTAATCCAAATCCGGGCATCTCTTAGCTGAGATCATAAGTGCCTTTGATTCCTTTGTGTCACACACTTCCCACTTCCCATAGGGGTGAGTCTAACAGGCAACAAGGGCAAGGTTTGGGTAACCCTCCAATTCCCTGCTTCCCCACCCCCGGGGTCCCGAGAGCCCTCTATGTTCAAAAGGACCAGCAGCCAAATGGAAAACAAAGCACACATTCTGTGATCACTGGAAAGCACCAGCTACCCTAAGGCCATGAACGTGGCTCAGGCTAGCAGACCCAATCTTGGCTTCCGCAATGTCTTGGAGTTAACATCCTAGGAGACCATCTGTTCAGGCTTGCCCTGTTGGGGCAACAGTAAGAGTGGGTGGTCTAACGGAGCCTGGTTGCTACACTCACCCCCTAGTGGTTGAGAGTGTTGGTTGCCCTCCCTACCCAAGGCAATAGGCGGCCCATGAGGCCCCTTGCCTCCAGGTGAGGCAACTGGTGCCACCCATGCTCCAGATTTCAATCTCCCCTATTGTTATTGCCAGTGGAGAAAATAATTTAGAGATAGGGTCAGCTTCATAGGCATGTGACCTGTGCAGTTACACACGGATTCCACACTTAGAAGGGTCCCATGTTTGCTTTAGTGTTGCATCCTCTCTTGAAAATCTTAACAAATTCTACATGAGGATCTTTGCCTTTTCATCTTGCCTTACATCGCAAAATTATGGAGCTTGTCCTCTTTGGGGTCATGCACCAAGAATGACTCAGGGGTGGGAATTTGGGGCAGTGGTGACATCAGCATTTGGGATGCACACTTCCCACAGCAGCGTGCCTAATTTCAGAACGAGCTGCTCCCCGTCCAATCTCGCATTCTGCTAATGGGCACCCTAGCAGGCATTAGATGATGGTTCAAGTACTTGGCCTCTCTCCTGGCTTTCAATCTGACCCAGCCCTGGCTGTTACAAGCACCAGGGGTATGAAACAATGACTGGAATATTCTCTTTCTTTCTTGCTCACTCTCTCCCTCTCAAACTTTCAAAATAAAGTGAAAATAAATTTTAAGTTTAGAAAAAGCGCCCGGCGTGGTAGCCTCGTGGCTAAAGTCCTTGCCTTGTATGTACCAGGATCCCATATGGGTGCTGGTTCTAATCCCAGCAGCTCTGCTTCCCTTCCAGCTCCCTGCTTGTGGCCTGGGAAAGCAGCAGATAACGGCCCAAAGTCTTGGGACCCTGCACCTGCGTGGAAGACTCAGAATGGGCTCATGGCCCCTGGCTCCTGGCTTTGAATTGGCTCAGCTCCAGCTGTTGTAGCCACTTGGGGAGTAAACCAGCGGTTGGAAGATTTTTCTCTATATCTCTCTTCCTCTCTGTATATCTGACTTTCTAATAAAAATAAATAAATATTTTTTAAAAAGAAAAAAAAAACAGAAATTATTCAGGATTGCCAAGAAGTGAAGGAGGAAGTGACATTTCCTTGGGGTCTCTTTGACTCTGGATTCCGGTGAATTCTCTGGACACCACAGCACCTGTCTGTACTTCGTTTCTCTGGAAAGTGTGTATTTGCAGAAATCCAAGATGACCCCACTGTTCCGCAGGGCCATCTCCATTTACTCTGCTCCTGGATGTCCTGGGCCATTTTGTCACTATCGGCTGTGCAGCCAGACCCCCATCTTGCCTTCCACACTCCCACATGCAGGCCACACAGCTCACAGCCTCTTCAGTGGACCTTGGAAACCTCCGTGGCGAATCAGGAAAAGGTCGCACAGCCTACTCCCCTTCTCTCTAGATGGAGTCAGAAATCTCATGGAATGGCATCAGCACTCTCTTAAAATTTTTTTTCTCTCTCATCCACTTTTGTATTCTCAGAGTGAGCGAAAAGGGAGTCAGGAGTTATGAAACAAGTTCTTAATCATTTTCCCTGTCATTTTTATGTGAGGGAATCTGGCTTTGGAATTTCACAGCATCGTGTCTCACTGTCTTTGCAAACTTCATTAATGAACATCTGTGGCAGGTGCCAGGCCCTAGGTGAAGCACTGTTAAGTTGTATAAGGTTTTATGTACACAGCCCTGTGAAGCGTATGAAACCACACCTGTGCTGCCTCACTGCGCTCTCCTCAGCACCTCAACACATTACTTTGTTCTCGTTTTACAGGGGTCTCTACTGAGATTCAAGAGGTAACGAGACTCACCCTTGTCATTCAACTCCTCAACGAGGAGACGTGCAGAGACCTGCTCCTGGGCCTTCTCAGTGTGCACTGCCTGCTCTGCCTGGCAGCTCTCCCTGGGGAACAAAGACATTGGTGACTATCACATAGAGTGGCCAGTGGTTAGTGCCGTAAGTGTAAAGGCCATGGACACAAAACCCTCACAAACTGTGAAGCAAACTGTGAAGAGACTCCGGCTAAGATGGCTGTTGGCTAAGAACAAGAAACAAAAGGATCAGTTGATCCAACAGTACGTACGTTAGAGTTTAGAACAATGCAGTACACTTAATCATATATTATTTAGTATACTATTTAGGATGGAATATATACAGTATACATAGTGCATGTTAGTCATTTTTATCATCTTTGTATCGTAATACTAAGCTCATCGATTAACAAAGTAGGTTTAATTATTCATATGCGACCACCAGGGTGAAGAAGGTTGATACCAGTCCGAGGCCATATGGAGGAGGTTGAGCTAGGATTTGAAATCAAGCATTTCTGAGTTTGCACTTCATGCTCTTGATCGTTGTGCTGTTGGTGATCTGACCTCTCAGAGACACTGCAGAGGAAACTTAGAGATGTATCCATGTGGGTCAAACCAGGAAATCTATTTTAAAAATAAAGAACAAGACACATTTGTTCCAAAGTTCCACTGATGAATTCTCTAGATTTCTTCTCTCCCAGGGTTCCCAAGCACTCTCTGCCTTGGATCATAAAATACATAATGACTTTTCACTTGAAGTTCTTTGTAGGCTAAAGTGTCTTTAAAAGAACTCTGAGAGTGTTATAGAAAAGTGATTTTCCAAAAATATACATTGCTTTAAACTTTTCATTCTGAAGGTCAGTCATGAGTCCTATTGCTTCCTTTGCCAAATCTACCACATTAAAGCAAATGAAAACATAACTCAGATGATTAATATGAATTAGTCTTTCCATAAGCATTTAATATTGTCCAAGCACTTTGCCCTGTTGCTGGTGGTTCGTGTGAATTAAGTGGTTCCATCAACAAAAACACCAAGAAGAAAGATTTCACCTAGCTTTGACGAAATTAAAGAGTCCATCATTCTTCGGCCGGTACTTAAGGTTTCATTGGAAATCGAAACAGGAGAAAATGCCCAGGTTAAGAAAGTCTGACAACCAGCAAAAGCTCTGGAATAACATTCTCACAATGGTGAGCCAAGAAAATATCGTAGGCCGGACCGCCCCCTCTCCACGAGGTAGCTTCTCTGTAAGGAATCATTAGGGATTTTGTTCTTCATCTCTCCGCAGAGTGAAAGCGCTATGTTGTAAAGGTTGGTGTTTAGGGAGTTCTGCCTCCTCATCCATCGGGCCAGTCTGATGCAGAGTATCTCAGTTTAGGGCTCTCCCAGCATCAGACTCTGAGACAAAGATTTGAGTGCAGGTAGCTTAGCTGGCAGCAGAGAGTAGGAAACACTGATATGGGAGTGGGTAAGGGAAACCCAGTGACAGGGATCTAATACAAAGTGAATTATCAAGCAAGGTACCACTTTAGGGGACTGCATGTCAACCCTACTCAGATCCTCTGAGACTCAGCGGCGTTCCTGGGAAGTGGATGGTGAAGAGCTGGGACACTTACACAGTTCCCATTACATAGTGTCGGTTAGCCCAGTGGAGAAATGGAGTCAGTCCTAGCAAAGTGCTGGCAGTATTATCACTTGGAAGATGGGCAAGGGGATAATAGATGCTAACACAAGCTGCAAATCTTCTTCTTGGTTGCTGGCCCTTTCCGTCCCTTGAGACGATTCACACTGGTCTGAACCACCCCTCCCCCTGTTCCCTATTTCCTTGCTTTTTTCTCTCTCTTCTGCTTGCTGGCTCCTGTGTCTCTCTTGCTCTATTGCTCTTTTTCCTTTTAGAATGGACATCTGCTATTTTTGTCTGCTCAGCATCCATTCCCGAGCGTTTTCACAACAGCCTCTGAACTGGATTTGGAGGAAGCAGTCCTCCTCGCTGCGTGCAGTCTGCCTCTGGCCGGGAGGCGGGCGCTTCACACAAGTCCAGATGCTTGTTCCCGGGGATTTGACTTCTGCACAGGACTAATTGAAAGCGGTTGTTCTACTTCCCAGATCCATGGAGTGGCTCAGCTCCTATTCTCTTCGAAACCTTCCTGCTCAGCTCTGCCATCCATTTGGTGATCATCTTGAGCTTCTGTTACGCAGAGGTGCGCGCCTGCTGCTTGCAGCCACACCATCGATTATGCCTGCATATGTGTGCACGTGAATCTGTGAATCAACTCAGCTTGACAATTCTAGATAGCCAGGTTTTATTCAACTCAGGTAATTACAAAAAGGAAGCAAAATAATTTGAAAAAAAAATGGAGGAAAGAAATAATATCTCCCCCAAAATACAATAAACATATGAAATAATATATGAAAGACAAAAATCAACAAGGCCAACGAAGTTGGTCCTTGGTAAAGACTAATCAAATTGATAAAGCTCTGTTAAAATTGATTAGAAAAAATCCACACAGATAAATAATATAACCAGATTTCATAGACATTAAAATGATAATAAAAGAGCATTATTAAAAACATTTCAGGCCCAGCAGCTAAAGTCTTCATCTTGCATGCACTGGGATCCCATTTGGGCACTAGTTCTAATCCTGGAGGCCCCACTTCCCATTCAATTCCCTGCTTGTGGCCTGAGAAAGCAGCCAAGGATGGCGTAAAGCCTTGGGGCTCTGCACCCACGTGGGAGACCTGGAAGAGGTTCCTGGTTTCAGATCGGCTCAGCTCTGGCCGTTGTGGCCACTTGGGGAGTGAACTGATGGACAGAGATCTTCCTTTCTGTCTCTCCTCTTCTCTTTACCTGGCTTTCCAATAATGATAAATAAATCTTCAAAAAAATGTCAATAACTTTGAAAATTAAATGCATTGAGTGACATGGACAAAATAAAATTTACAAAAAGTGACACAAGGAGACATTTTTAGGCACTTAAATAGCTATAAATATTGAACATGTAATCTATAACGAAAAATAAAATCCATATAAAAACAACCACAGGTCCCATGGTGTCATAGTTCAACTGTAACAAAATTTACGAAAGAAATCATTCCAGCCTTAAACTCTTTTAGAAAACAGAAAATTGCAGAACAAGTTTCAATTCCTCTTAAGATGCTAGTATAACTTATTACCAAAACCTAACAAGACCAAAACAAGAGATGAAAAAAGTCAATTTTACCATGATTTTACATGAAATTTCTCCCTGAAAGCAAACATAATCCAGTCATACACATACAAAACAACGACTTCATAAACTGTAGACTTAGTACAGAAATATAAAACAGGGCGTGGTGTTGTGGCATAGCAGATTAAGTTGTGGCCTGTGACACCAGTGTCCCCAATGAGTACCGATTTTATTTCTAGCTGCTCCATTTCTAATCCAGCTCTCTGCTAATGTGCCTGGGAAAACAGTGGAAGACAATCCAAGTGCTTGGATCCCTGCACCTACGTGGGAGCACTGGATGAAGTTCCAAATTCTTGTCCTTGGCCTGGCCCAGCCCTAGCTGCAAATACAAGGTGTGTTGATCAGCTTTTTGATACTACAATGGAATGTCTGAGACAACTAACTTTATAAAGAGAAAAGGTTTATTTGGCTCACCATTCTATAGGTTCTGGTCCAAGGTTGGGAGACCTCCTACTGGTGTAGCATCAGGTGGGGATGGAGGATGGCAATGGCGGAGCAAGTGTGTGAAAGAAGGGCCACACTCCAAGGCAGGAAGCAGAGAGAGCTGGGCCCAAACTAAGACTTCTACACCCTCTCCTACGCACTAGCCCCACATGACCTAAGGACTTCCTACTAGGGTCTGCCTTATGGACTCCATGCCCCAGGAGGGTAACAGGAACCCAGGCGCATCAGCAGGAAGCTGGATTCAAAGTGCAGAACAGCCAGGACTCAACAAGCTGGCACTCCCTGAGAGGATGCAGACACCCCAGATAGTGGCCTAACTTGCTGCTCTACAATGTCTCCCTCTACCCCCTGATTTTTCTCTTTAAAATTATTAGTATTTTTCCAAAATTATTATGTAAATACAAAGAACCAAGAATAATCAAGACATTCTTAAACAAGACGACGAAGCATAGTGCTTTGTTCTTTCAGACAACAAAAACTATCACAAAGCTCTATAATTAGTGTGTAGATACCATGCTAAAAATGTAGCAAATACACTAAAGATACAGAACAGATGTCAGGAAGCACACCTCTGTAATCATTGATTATTGATTTATGATAGGGACAGCATTGCAGAGGGTTCAGAAAACTACTTCTAATAAATGTTGCTCAAACAATGTGCTATCACTGAGGAAAAAAGTAAATTAACTGAACCACTATTTCGCACCATGCACAAAATCAATCCCAAGGGAATTTTAAATGTAAATGTGGACAACAAAACAATAAATTCCCTATAAAGTAATACAGGAAAATACCTTCATTATGATGAGTTAAATAAACAAGGGGCAAAACACCCTGACCAAGTGAAACAATTATTCAAAATCGGACCCAAAATCAAGAATTTCTGCTCATCAAAATCACTTTTAAGAAAGCAAATCCTATATCAAGCAATGGACCTTGGAAGGATTTCCTCAATCTTGGATTGGTGAGATTAACAGCATTTCAGAATCATTGGAATCACTTGAGCAGAACCCTTGGAGCATGCGCCACATCAGGGACCCCCGGTTGAAATCAGGTGGCCATTCCCCATCCCTTGGGTAGTGAGGCGGTTGGAGGCTGGGTATGGCTGTTCCACTTGTCTATCCTCCTTCTCCCAAATACAGGAGAAAGAAAAAGAAAATTTGGAAACAATGGTCTCAACCACTTTCCCTTAATCCTTGATCCTTCCCATCCTAACACCTATGTGAATATCCTCAAAATAAATAAATAAATAAAAGAATGCAAGTCACTGAGTGGGAGAAAATATTTGTGACATACAACTAATGAAGATTTGTATCTGGAATACAGAGAATGACAAATTAACAAGAGCGGGGCAGGCTAAAATGCCTATACGGGCATGTCACATCAGAGACCTCCAGCTCTCGTGTCCAGATCCCTGCTAAGGCATATCTGTGGAGGCAACAGTTGATAGGTCAAGTGGGTTAAGTCGCTGCCATCCATACTGAGACCAGGAGGAAGTCCTTGGCCCCCAACTTCAACCCGGCCCAGGCGTAGGCATTATGGACATTTGGGGAGTGAACCAGTGGATGGAAGCTCTTTCCATCTGCTTGGCTGTGTTTCAAATTAAAACAATAGCAATAATAATAATAATAATAATAATAATAATAAGGAAAGAAAAATCACATAGGACCTAATGAGATAAATGCAAGGTCAGAGAACATCCAGATGGCATCAAAGAAGAACAAGAAAAGCTGATTTATGTCACTGGTAATGAGGACAACACAAATTGTCATCACAACTGTACCCAGTGGATGTGTGAGGACGGAGACCAAGGGCCTCTGAGAAGAAGACGAAATTTACTTTTTATTTTGTACCATTTTGCCTTTTATATCATTTTACGATCTCCTGGATTCATCCTGGCCCAGCTCCATTGCCCTCCCCTCCAACTCCCCCGGCATCATCATCCTGGGAAGATC